ATCAGAGTGTTAACATCAGAAACGAAAGAACGTCTATTTTTTGAAATCAGAAGAGTAGGCCTTTTCGGTGGCTCGCAAGTACGGCAAAAAATGCATGTTGGCCTATGTTGGCCACGCAAGTCATTGGCATCACTGTTGCAATCTGTCAAATGTTTTGTTTTGACAAACAGCAAATCTTGTATATGTGCATATAAATCAAATATATATTTATAAAAATATTATAAAATTAAAATGAACACGGAATTAAAAGGAATGGTAAAAATATTGAAAATTTAAAAATAAAACACTAAGATAAGTAAATTTTTGTAGGTACTGTCGATGTTGGGAGAAGGAAGCAACGTTTTGCAGTGGCCGAGGGATGCAAGTTGTTTCACGGATTTTTTAAATGTTATGAATGCCGCAACAACCTCCTGTGAAGATTCTTTTCCTTTCGTGTCAAGTAGCACTCTAGAAAACACTTCGTTTCCTTTGTGGTCCATAGTTTGGGTGTATTTCTATAAAAAATTTTTTAGAAAAACTTCAAAAATTATGTTTGTTTATTAATTTTATGTATGTAAACTACAAATTAAATGAAATAAAATAAATGTTACTTGGTAATAACTAACATAATAAAAAATTCAATGTGCTTAATACTTACGATTTCTCCATTCTTATTATTTCTTCGTTACTTTTCAAGATTTTTCAAATTTTTGAATTCTGTTTGAATTTTTATTTCCTCAATTTTTGACATTTGATTGCACTATTCGTTGGAATTTTCAATGAAGGTTCACAATAGTTCGCTTATTGCGTTGGTAACATTTTTTTTTTTACTGGCCGATGTGGTTGGCCAGCATAACTATGCTGGCCGAGGTAGAGAAAATAGTGTTGTTGTTTTGCATACATTGCGGCCAGTATAGGCCTGCATAGGCCAACAACTTGCTGTTTTTTGCCGTACTTGCGAGCCACCGAATACGCCTAGTTTTATCCATTATGAGCTATTTATATATAATCTACAATTGATTAATTTACAGGCAGCTATTACCGAAAAAATGCGACTAAGCACGTATTCATAACTCTCCAGCATAAGAATCCCCGGCCGACTATATTACTGAGAGGCAACAAGAAGTTTTATCTCAACAGTTTACACCTTTGGACTAACGCCTACGTTATGCAATATTTACAAAATAGTCCTTCTGGAATAGGATTCATTTTAATCCAAGGTATTTAGAATTGACTTGATTTATTCTTGACTTAAAAAGAGGACCGCCAGCTAGTACGCCAAACGGCATATCTGGCCATGGAAAATACTTTGGATAGTGTATTAAAATAATACACATACACATCATATATATATATGTATATGACAAAATTCAAAACGTATATATTTCATTGCTTTTCGCTCTACTGTTATATTTTCTCTCTAGAACTAGCACTAATTTAGATTTACGAGGATAATACAGGTGATATTTGACTGCAAAATTTAATATAGTGTTGGCTTTCTAATAAGTATAAGACAAGTATTGAAGGAATAGTTATTTTGTCGTCTCTCTCAGCTATGTCTCTAAAATTTGTAATAGTGAAATTTTGTTTTTTTTTAATTGAAAATATTTATCTTGGCATGTTGTACGGAAATTTTGTTTCTCATTTAGTATTAATCATAATTATTTTTTACGGAAATGATAAATGTACAAATTATTAAATCTATTATCCTTTACTTTCAATATAATATTCACACACACGGCATACAGGTATCACACTGAAACTTGGTTTATATCAATAGCAATAAATTACGTTGATTTTCTTTTAAGATGACATTTATCAAAAATTATCATCCTTACCATCATCTAGAAGTTACGCATGGGGTCTTGGATTTATACATTATGATCTTTGGAATATTTGCCAAGACAAAGAGGAAATATGATCAAGCTCACATTTATTACATAGATGATCCGCCAGACCAAAGAGTACGGCTTCAATTGTCCAAAGACCCTTTTCAAGGTATCGAAGAACTATCAGAAACTTTAATCGAAGACGTCAAAATTCTGAAACAAAATATTATTAGTTTTGCATAAGAAAATCAAATCACTGAAAGATAGCTAGGTCTTTTATAACAATAGCCGTAGCGAAAACCAATAAACCCATAAGGGATTTACGTAGAGTCTAACAAACAGATTTATCCTTAATCCTATTCCTATCTATTCCATCTTTTGTGGCTAGCACATTTTTATTTTAACATTAAAAGTTTTTTTACCGACATTTCCTACAGAATTTGTTGGTGAAATTATTTTTAATTTTATTTTTTTTAGTCCTGTTAACATTTTTGTTTATTTTTTAGGATATAGCATTTAAATATATATATTATTTATGTATGCATTGGGGAAAAAATGAACACTTAACGTTTTCATAAGTGGAGGTGATTGGATAACATCACCTTTGATATATGAGTTCAATTTAGTAAAATTTAAATAGGTTTATTAACTACGCTCAAGATACATGAGCAATTGTTAGATGATATTCACAGGTGTAGAGTAATCTACACCATAATTATGAAATACCTTGTGATAAAAAAAAACGAATTCGTTCTTTTTTCGAATTCCCGCGCTTATCCAATTGGTAAATTTTTTTTATTTTCACGCTGGCACACAACACTATTATACATATTCTGTCAAAGTTTAACGTATATCGTACGATTAGTTTTTGTTTGGCGTCTATACAAAGAAGTTGAAAAATTTTCGTGTGGTGATTTTTAGCTGAATTTCATTCAAAAAAAGCGTTGTTGTGATGTGACCAAAGAGATCATTTTCAACGCAGATAGTGACCCCACATTCATCGAACGCATCATAACTGATGATGTGACGTGGGTCTATGAATTTGATATGAATGCCCACCAAACAACAATCGACCGAATGGTGCTTCGAAGGTGAGCCGGAACCGAAAAGTCGGTCTAAAATCAAGGTTATGCTGACTGTTTTCTTCGATATTCATGGTGTGGTGCACTATGAATTCCTTCCGGACGGTCAAACGATCAATAAGGAGTATTATTTGGCCGTTATACGTCGTTTGTGTGAGGTTATTTGCATAAAGAGGCCAGATTTATGGAAGGAAAACTCATGGATTTTACACCACGATAACTCACCGGCTCACACAGCGTTGGTTGTGTCGCAGTTTTTAGCCAAAAACTCCACCAATATCATCAACCAAGCACCGTACTCTCCAGATATGGCCCCGTGTAACTTATCCTCTTCCCCCGACTCAAATTTCCATTGCGAGGCTATAGACGCGTTTTGAGACCATAGAGGCCATAAAAGAGAATTCGTTGCGTGAACTAAAGGCCATACCTTCGGCGGCCTATAAAACTTGTATGGAAAATTGGATCAAGCGTTGGCATGCATGTATTGCCGCAAGAGGAGAGTACTTTGAAGGCGATAATAAAGAAAATTATTAAAAATTAAAATTTTGAGTTTTTTTTTAACTTCTCGTTCTTTTTTGATCAAATGGTATGTTATATTATCTCTCATGGACACAAACAAGATAAGTGTATACTAAACTTAAAATCGCAAAATATTTTAAAAATATTTTTTCCGAAAAATTTACTGATTCTGGCAAAATCCATGCAAGAGCGTATTACAAAGTACGTATATTTGTTTCGAAGTGTTCTTAAATATTTTAATATGCCCGTAGCAGAGTAGAATTTTTAATTTATCTTTATTAACTTTCTGAAGAAAAAGTCAAACAAATCTGCGCTCATTGTAGTGTGATAATTTATGAGGTCGTCAGTGTTGGCAACTATTGTCCATTATCCCCGAAGCAGAGGCAATTATTTGGTAGTATTTTTACTCAGCATTTAAGACTACGTGGCAAGCCGATTTGTCGTTGATAAAAAGCATAGTTTCAAATTATATGAAGTAGTCAAAAACTTCAACATTGAATTACAATAAAAATGTCAGTTTTGTTAAAATTATTTTAAAAAGAAAAAGTAGTTAATTTTTATGCAATGCAAATCGTTAAGTTTGGTTACTACGTTATAACTAAGTGGTGATGATAGTGTTAATTACAAATCCAAAAATCTTAATGTTGCCTGGTACAGTAATTAGTAAAGTGAACAAATATAGTTGCTATAGAAATAGCCACATTAAAAGCGGAAATAATTGTAATTAGTTGAAGAGCACCGTTTTTTGCATTGATTCAGGTTTAATATTTTTTGCAGAAAACGAAAAAAAATTTTGTGCAAGCATTTTACGTGTGAAGAAAAATCTTAACACTGACAAGAAGTCGATATATTAAAAGTGCGTTAAAGCTGTTATTTAAAATGGGCAATGTGTCACTCCAAATTCCGTACTTCCGTTTATTTGGCTTCCAGCACCGATATGGATTATAATTTCCTATCTTAAATGTGCTGGTTTTTTATTGGCAGACACCTCACATACAATTTTTTTTATTGCTTAGTTAATAGAATAATGTTGTTAATACGAACATCCTGCGGCGCGGCATATTAATATGTGCGGCTTATATTATTAAAACGATAGTCCAATACATTTAATAAAACTGTTGATTTCGCTCTTTTCTAATCCAGTTGGCAAAAAAGTTCATATTCAATTTAATAAAGAAATAACCCATATTAAATTTTCAGAAATATGTATATATATTCGTATCAGTTTGCTTTCAAAGTTCATTAGACAGATAAAATATCTAAATAGTATTTCATAATAGAAATAGAATACAGTTACAGTAGAATACTTCTTCATAGCTGCTCACAAAACATTATCGCCTAGAATGTTTAAATATAACCAACCTGATAATTAAATTGATTTAAATAGATTTCACATCATATATTAATTCCAAACTTACATTGGGAACCATTTTTATTCTGACGCTGTTATACGGAACAACACTGCCATATCAGACGAAAATATTGTTATGTTACATTAATAATTTTAAAATAATATCTACCATATACCATATATTTTGTAATTTAATTTAATTTAATTTATTTGTAATAATTTTTTTTGTTATTAATATAGGCGTGGCCCACAGCAAAAAAATCCTTTGATTTATATCCCGAAACATATGACTTGCATAAAATTTCAGGTAAATATTGATAAATATATGTACATATATGTTTTCGTTATATTTTCGTTTTGATTAATGAATTTACAAGATTTATGCAAAATTTAACATTTTTTTTCATACATACTCGTAGATACGAGCCTTCTTATTATAATCACCATTTTAGTATTAATTATCTCACTAACGAAATACATATACTTATTGCACTTGTTTTAAAAATTAAACAATATTAAAAATTATTAAAAATTTTACATCACACATTATTCCCATTATTATCAGTTATCAATCTGTCTTTTCTGCTTAACAGATTAATTGATTTCCCTATTCAAATTATTTTACACAATTTTCTTCTTCGATTAAATGAAGTCAAATTTTGTCTAATTGAGTAATTTGCAACCATACATGAAATTGTTATCTATAATTTAATTATTATTATGTTTTTTTAGATTTCTTTTATTTTCTCAAACCCGCAACCATATTCGTGCTTAAAAACGTTCAGGCCATAAATCCGACCATTAAATGAGTCGATTGAAAACCCACTAGAAATAGAGGGCAGAAATTAATTTGACGCCTTGCGAATAATACCGCATATAACAAGTACATAAATACATATTTGATATTCTTAGATATTGTGTGCCGTGTGGATACGTATAAGTGCAGATGTTCGCAAATGCTTGACTTGTTTAACTTTTGTATATCCTCAGGCAAAATATATGATTAATTGCTTTTGTTTCAAAGTCGACATTGAAATTTAGTTAAAGCAAAAGGCCATATGAAATGCCTGTCACTATTTTCATATACTAATTATGTAACAGCAGGTTGGTTGTTGGTTGGTAATAATGAAAGTTTTTCAATATTAATATCGCTTTCATTGGTGGGTAACTATTGATAGTCTTAAGCTATTAAGACAGATCAGTTAAATGACCATCATCTGCTAATAATAACTAATATATCTGTATTGTTCACCCACATTCCTTTGTATTGCTTTCCAATTTCCGCTTATGCAAACGTAATTGTTTTCGCAACGTTTACAGCATGTTTCGTTTTAAAGTCCTTTTACTTCAAGAGGTAACTCCAGGTTTCAAGGCACAAAATTACAACTCTAAATAATCAGGCCATTCATTTTTGTTTTCAGATTGCATGCATATTACATCTGAGCCAGGAGATTATGTTTTTAAGAAAACGGCTCATGTGATCCCTAGTAGGAACGATGCTTCGATATTAGAAATTGAAAATTCAATGGAGGTCTGCGGTTTGTATGTAATAGGCGAACCTGATACAATTATTGAACTCACTGTCTTAAAGTATGACATAAATTGTGAAACTGGGGGACTCATGGCTGTAAGTATACAGAAAATTGACAACTCTAACTTAAGTATCATAAGCCATAAGACTCTTTCAGTTTGTCGACGGTTGGGAACTGAATGGGGAATACTTTCCAGGCTTAAGCGATCATCATCGCCTTTTGAAAGACAGAGTTATTGAATTTTGTAACAATTACAGGCAGTGGTTAGTAAAAATAAAATTAACATGATAAATTATACATTTTGATTTTCTCTACTCTTTCAGGCCCGTTATCTCTAACAAGAAGTTTTTCCGTTCCAGCCAGAATGCCGCATTGCTGCAATACCGCATACCATTACGTGGGTCGTTTATTGTCAATATCCGTTACCATAAAATTTCTCAACGTTTGTTTAGCTTAAATATAATGCTAAAATACATAATTAATAAATTTTATATTTAGCTTGCCATGTATTAGTACATGATACTACTGCAATTATGAACATAGCTAATTTTGGCCACCGGCGCAATTGTACTATTTCTGCTCTGTTTCCTGCAACCGTTTCTGTTATCAATCTGAAAGTTGGGGGAAAGTCCGTTCGTCAAGAAAAAGTTAATTATGATGTGGGTTCATAAACTTTAATTCCGAACAATTGTATTAAAAAAATTTGTTTTAGTGTTCTTTTTATGAAGATCGTTTAGAAATTGGAGGCACATCTGGACTAGAAAGTATTGCAATGGAAAAATCAAGTGAAATTTGTGGATTTACAAACGAACAAGGTTTGAAGAAATTTCTTAAAATAACTAATTAACTAATATTTTTTTTAATAAAAAAGTTACTCTTGCAAGATATACCATTATTAGATACTTAATTATTATTAAACCGTATTCCATCAGGACATAGACTATTTACATAGAAACGCCAGTTATTTCTGTTTAATGCTAAATATCTAAATTCATTAAATGATTTGTTCGTTTCATGCCGGATGGTTCTTCTTTAAGTGGTCTGAGGTCTGTTAGATCTTCGATTGCCTTACGGGTTCCATTGTTTCATTGTAAAATATTTTACCAAATTCTTCTAAACTGCATCCTCGACCCAATCGACTGCCAACTCCGAAAAGAGTAAGCTCGTTTTACGCTTAATAGATCATGCGTAGACCACATCAACAGCCTGCGCCTTATTGTAGAGCAGTGTAATGAATTAAACACCCCTCTGTTGTGTTAATCGATTTTGAAAAAGCCTTTAACTCTATGAACCTAAGTGACATATGATCTACGCTCGAGAATTCAGGTGTCCCTGAAAAAATCAGAAGCCTATCAAAGTGCGAAGCAAGTGGTAGAGTCCTACATTGCGGCAGCATTAGTGAGGCCTTTTGTGCAATCACTACTATTATTTGCACCAACGTTAGATGCCGTGTTGAAAAAAGTCACTGTCGAAAGAAGAGGCATATTATGGAGGGTCAACCAACACCTTTTTTACTTTCTTTAAATAAAGAGTACATGCAGTCAAAAATTGACGCCCTTTTAACTAAAGTCCCTCTAGTGGGTCTGCGAACCAACATAAGCAAAACAAAGGCATGCACGATTAAGTTAAATCAAACTCCCACCTTCACAATCAGTAACACCAACATTGAAACCGTTGAGAATTTCTGCTATCTTGGAAGCTCAAGTAAAATATCTCCAAAGACCAAGATCAATGTATATAACGCATGTGTCAAATCGGGATAAACGAGATCCCTCGTCATTGGTTGCAGTCTGTCTTATCACCCTTCTGATAATCAAACTTTTTTCCCACTTCTAGGGTACAACTTCAGTATTCCAAATTTCGATAAAGAGCGGTCTGAGTGTGTCAGACAGTTTCTGCAGATAGATTGTCTATATCCGCCGCTTTGTTGTTTTTAAGTTGATCTATGGTTTGCGCACTTTTATCTCTGTCAAGCGGACTCATAGGGATAGAACTAAAAGGCTGTGCGAGCGAAAATAGCGTTGTGTCGAAGTTCGCAGATATGACAGAAGTTGGCTAGATGCTTCCTGAAAGGTGAACACTTCTTTCCGATGAATTAGTTGCTCATCGGTAGTAGTTAGTAGTCTACCATTCATATCTTTTATGGACACGTTTTTTAAAACTTGTTTGTTTTTAAGCTTTCTTGTGATATTAAACACTGATTTCAAATCGCCACGTAGGCTTGCTGCTTCCGTTTCAGCAACGAGGCTGCTTATAAAACTGGGTTTGTCGTTTCTGGCCTTTCGCTTAACATTGTTTACTAGAGATTAATATAAGCCCTGTGTCAAAGCTTTCTGTTCACAACTTATGGCAATAATTAATTGTGATTTAGCGAGGCGTCTTTCTCCAACAAGAGACCAAAATGCAGGTGTAAATCATTCTCTGTCTTCCTGTCTTCATGCTAAGATGACTTCTTCTGCAGTATCACTAATCATAAGCTTAGTCATATTTCACAACTCGCTTATATCAGTGGTAGAGTTCACTTCAGCGTCTACTTCTACTTTTCTTTAATACTATCGCAGGCGAGACGGAATTTGTTGTATGTTATTTCATATGCTATTTCATGCGACTAGTATGAAATGGTCGGATGCTATTTCGACGTACTCGAACATCTTGAACACATTTGAACCATTTTTTACTAATACAGAAATATTCGATTTGACGATTGAATAGTCAATGACAGTTCTGGAGTTTCGCGATGTCCATGTCAGTTTGTGGTTAATTTTGTGCGGGAAGTAGGAAGTAGATGTTTAAAATACTTTTATACTCCGCCTAAAAACAGTTTTGCATAAAATCTGTTAAAGATTGTAAGTTTTATAAAGTATTGTGGGATAACAGATGAACTTGAAAACCAAATGAAAATTATACGGATAAATACTTATGATCAGAAAAACCCGTGACGTAAAGGAGACGTATTCTAATTCCAACAAGTACCGTTAAACATTTCATCAAAGGCGATCTCAATAATAATATAATCAATTAAATATTATTAAATAATATTAAATTTATAACAGAGACTTAGACTTCTGTTGAAGCGCAGTACTGCCATCCTATTCAGAAGATAGCGCAGATAACTAGTTAGCAAACAACTCTATTCCTTCTGCAGAGAAATGAATTCGCTTTATAGTATAATGTAGAAGTTCAAACAAAAAATAAAAATTAAACTACAATATCTATGTTTAATAGGTTACTTCAAACTATAATCATTTTTACTGTGATTACTGTTCTACAATTCTCAACTCTCTAATTAAAACATAATCTAATAATAATAATTATCATGCAAAATTTATTTCAATGATTAAAAAAATAAATTTCTTTCAAACAGGACCAGAGCAAGCCATTTTCTGTGGTGTTACGACTGTTCGTCTTGTTTCTACTGGCAGATATCAAAATCAAGCAGCAGTCGCCATACGTAAAGCGGAAGAGATTGATTTAGAAATAGCAACTTTAATTTGTGCTATATAAGATGTTCAATACAGACAAGTAATAATATATTGAACATATTATGAAATCAATAATACTATACTGTAAGTCTCTAGGAACAGTGACAGTAAATTAAAAACTTAAATTCTCTCGTTTTTGTCATTTAACCCATAGCACAATAGCATGTTCGTCTTATATATGTATCAATGAAAGCAAATAATGTTATATATATAGCAAAATAAATATCTAAAATTAAACAAATAAATTATATTAATTTCATAAGTATTGTAATTTAACTTATGTGTACGTAAGTGACAAACATAGAATATAGAAGTATTTATTGAAACATGTAGTAATTCCCAGTGTAAACTAATTGGAATAAAGTCAAAATCTTGATGGTTATTTTTTTTAATTTTATTGTATTTTTAGATATATAAACATTACTACAATTTACATGTATTGAACATATTTGTTGATTTTTGTTTTTGGCACTAGTTCAATACTACTACTCATTCAAGAGAATACTACTACACAATATATCTTACAGAAAGGCACACAACCAAAATAGTCGTTAGACTTAAAGCAATTAGCGAAGCGGCGCCATCATCCTCTCCGGTAGGCCGTTTCGTTGTTGGTGCTGGAGTAGTTTCGGATGTGAGCTATTAAAAAAAGGGATTCATTTAATTATTTATTTAAAAAGGATACATCTGGCAACTATTTAATACAGTTCTTATTGTTTATATCTTACAGTTTGTTCCAGCTTAGATTGTAAAGCCTTACAGCGAGTCTTGTTGTGATAAGAAGTTGTAGCAAGGCGACAAATAGTTGTCATTAGGCACTTATTATCGCAACCTTTTTGCAAGGATGGATCTCCTAAAGTTATTTTATGCTGCCAATACTAAATAAGTCATTTAAAACATGATTACAACATTAAATATCATTTTGAAAAAATATTACGTATGGATCAATCCATTTTCTCAATTTACCTTACGAAGTAGTTCCGGATTTTCTGCAAACTTTTCTAATAATGCATCAATACCAGCTGGACTAAGATCATTTGTAAATTCTTTGGAAAACTGATATGCCTTATACCAGACAGGTTTTTTTTCAGCGCCAAACACATTTGCTTCAGTTAGATTAAAAATCCACGTTTCTTCATCGACGACTTGCTAAAATTTTTTAATCACTCACATTAATTTTTTTATAATTCACATTCTTACCAATTTGATAGGGTCGACGTCATATATTTTGTAATTTGGATTTTTATAAGAGTAACTTGTTAAACTACCACCGTTCCAAGATAATCCAATGGCGTGATTATCAGCAGTATAATGAACATTTATTTCATTTTTATGAGTATGACCGTTAAAAATTCCTCCGATAATATGACTAAAACGTTCAATGATGCGATTGTACTCTCTCGACCACACAGTCCAACAATCAGAGTCACCGGATGGTATATGCGCTAATATATGTACATATTCGTTAGCCTTTTCAGCTGCTAACAAAGTTTCATGTAGCCAGTTTAATTGCTCCGTTGCATAACTGCCATCGAAATAGATCCACCAATTAAATAAATAACAGTCATTATTATTTAAGGAGATTATTCTAAGGCCTTTGCTTGGAGAAAGAGTGTAATAGCCACCTTTAAGTATCGTTTCTTTTGTTTCGTCAGGAAGCCATTTACTCCAAACAGTATAGAGATGCTCATACAACCATTTAACACTAAATTCATTTGGTGATAACTCGTTGCCAAAACTAAAACCATATTATACATATATACTTATATTATACATAGAAGTAAAATATTTTTAAAATATAAGTGAATATAATGTAAAATGGAAAAAATGTACATGCTTTTCCTTACACGTTTGTTGGATGTGGCTCATGATTTCCGATACAAGGGTATACAGGAATTTCAGGAAATTTAGAATAAATCAATTGACTAATTTTTGTTATCATTTCCTGATTTCCATCCTTAGTTGTAGACCACACATTATGTGGAACAATATCGCCAGTGTGATATATATAAGTGATAACTTCATGAGTCTCTTTAATGTGATCGAATGCATCCTCAATCATATGCAAAGGGGAGTCACAATCTCGGTAATCACTCCAATATCCAGCCTGTTTATCAACGTCAATATTTTCAGGAGTATTTCGACAACAAAGAGGTTCCGGACATTCAGCTAATGATCCACTCTTATATTCAGGATCGAAATGTATATCTGTTAAATGAAGAATTTTTAAGTCTTGATCGCTTTTATTTGGAAATTCGTCTTTTGGTCCGGTTATAACTGGGCCAGTTGAATCAACATTCAAGCTCCATTCAAACTTCTCATGTTTTACTTGACAAAACCTTATAGGTAAAGTACCGCACATTGTCCGGGTATCAGCTACTGTATTTTGCAATATGTAAATCAAACTATGGTAGTTTAAGTCAAAAAGTCCAGAACACACTTCTTCGGTTTGTAGATCAAGTCGCTTACAAACGTCGAGAAATACCTTTTTAGTGTCATCTTCTGCATTCGGACCATTTAATTCTCCATCAGGGCTAAGAAACATTTTTGTAAGGACATTTAAAGATGCTCTACATGTTGTACATAAGAAAAATTGATCTGCTGCTCCTAATTCGGCGGTGCTTTGTGTGAATAAATCCTTTTTGGAATGAGAAGTTGAGAGTTGCTTAGAAATTTGTCGCAATGCTGCTGTCTCTACATTTGTTTTTAAAAATGTTATGTACTCCTCCGCAAACTTGTTCGCAATGTCATCTGTTAATTAGCAAAATATGATCATTTCAAAATATGTTTATACTATCTCCAAAATCAAGTGCCCAAATATGAGCTTGCTAATATGCTAATATGAGACTGATTGCTTCATTTTCTCTAGACTACGTTCGAGTGCGTTAAATATACAATAGATATAGTTTATAAAAACTATCTGTCATTCGTTTCCGATTCATTATTTAATTCAAACATTTTTTTTCTAAAAAAATTTGTTTTTGCACTGAAAATTACCTTTTACGTTTTTTTCTTTTTGTGATATTTTTATTTTTTTTATTTGTAAAGTACTTAAAGAAGATTGTGGCAGTTAGATTTGAAATATCTGAAATAAGTATTTGCTTGTATATTAATCTTACCCTAATCTTTAATTGAAGCTAAAGTTCAATTCGTTTGTTTATTATATTTTGAACTTGAGTTATCTGATCTTTTTGCTGATAAACATACATGCGATGTGGGCTATATATGTTAATACTAATATCTTGCCTTACATAAATAAACCTCATGAAAATATTTTTGTTAATCTAAAGTGGAAATAAAGGAAAGTGAAAACTAAACGAAATAATAATTACATGTTACCCAACTTGAAATTTAAGGATTTTTATGAACATAAAAAAGGCAATCAATTCAGAGAACCAACATTTTAATAAAAGAATGAACTACAAATTTTATAGGAAAACTTTTTTTTTGTGTTGTTACCTGAAATAGAAGATAAAACCTCGTCCGAATCAGAGAAATCCGTTGGAACGCCAGGCAAATTAAATGCATTGGTTGTGACAACTAAGAACGCGAGAACGGCAGTCCACAACATCGTCAAAAATGTTTTTTATTTCAATGAATCCAGAGCCAAACTGAAACCAACTTGAATAATTTATTGCATATATACTTATAGAGAATATCAAAGCGAGATTAGTTATCTTCATATGATTTGCTTTTATGGCAATGGTTATCGTATTTAGAAACCGATTAGGATTTGTGAAGCAAGTAAATAAAAAACACAGTATAGAACTTACATTTTTTATTGATTAGTTGGAACTATAAAACTTTATAGATTCTGATTAAAAATAATACCTTAACCTAGAGGATATTTTTTACAATAACACTTAATATTAAAAGCGTAGTTATGCTCATGGCAATTAGTGCTGAAGCTCCATCATCTTCGTTACCAGGTCGTTTCGTTGTGGGATCAGTCGGTGTAGTGGAAGTACTACTAGGAGATGCTGTCGTAGTATTCTCTTCGTCGAGCTAAAACATATATATATTGTTTCATAATAAGTTCCTTTACAACTTTTTAGAACAAAATTTAACCTACCGCTTTAGCTAGTTTGATTGTTAGTTCATCACAACGTGTTTTTTGGTCATTTACTGTAGTTGCCAGTCTGCAAATTGTACTCATCAAACAGTTTCTGTTGCAACCAGCAGCAATTCTAGGGTCAGCAGAAGTCATTTTAAATCTCCAAAACTATTAGCATAATTTCAAGAATTAGCATAAAAAATGGCATATATTTCATTCTGATTATACTTTTCTGAGTAACTCTGGCTTTTCCGCCATTTGATCTAATAACTTGTCTATACAATCTGGACATAATTCTTTAGTGAATTCTGAAGAAAATGTGTATTCTTTGAACCAAACTGGGCGGATTTCTTTTCCATGAATATTAGCTTCAGTCAAATTAAAAATCCACGTTTCATGGTCTACAACTTGCTAATTGTTTAAGAAAATAATAGATTGTGAGCTACAGTATTAACTTATACGAACCATTGTTTTAGTTTCAATTTGATATAATCTGTAGTTTGGATTTTTATCGGAAAATGTTGTCAAACTGCCTCCATTCCAAGATATACCAATTGCATGTCCTTTGGAGCTATAGTGAACATTCATTTCGTCTTTGTGGGAATGCCCATTAAAAATGCCGCTAATGGTGTTGGAAAATCGCTCAATAATTTTATTGTATTCACGCGACCAAACAGACCAGCAACTTCCATCACCAGAAGGTATGTGTGCCAATATATGAACATATTCATTTGCTTTTTCGGCAGCTAGTAATGTATCATGTAGCCACTTTAGTTGTGGTTGAGCATTTTCGCCACTATGATACAACCACCAATTATTATTATAGCAATCATTGTTATTTAGAGCAATAAGGCGGAATCCAGCTTTTGGTGAATGTGTATAATAGCCTCCTTGGAGAATTGTTGTCTCTGTACTTGATGGTAACCATTTTGACCAGTCATTATACAAGCTCTCATATAACCATCTCGTATTTAAGTGGTCTTCTGCATCAACAGGACTAAAACTTTAATAGATATTTCTTTAGTATCGTATTGTACTATAAAACTAAAAAACTTACACATTTAATGGATGTGGTTCATGATTGCCAATGCAAGAAAATACTGGGACATCTGGGAACATTTCTTGTAATTTATTACTTACTTTAGATAAAACGTCCGTATTTTTCTCAACAGATGTTGCCCATACCATGTGGTCTACAACATCTCCGGTCTGGTATATGTAATCAATATGGGGATGTGTTGCCTTAATGTGATTCAATGCATCTTCTATCATATGCCAAGGAGCATCACAGTCTCTAAAATCCCCCCAATAACCAGCCGCCTTAATTGTACCTTCACTAGTTTCTTTGTGCCGTTGACAACAAAGAGGTTCTTCGCATTCTGCTAATGAGCCTGGCTCATAAAATGGATCATAATGAATGTCAGTTAAATGTAAAACAGTAAGCACTTCTCCATCACTACTTGGGACATCAGCTTTTGGTCCATCGATAACTGGTCCACCTGAATTAATAGAAAGCGTCCAATTGTAATCAGCGCTTTTTACGTTACAAAAACTGAACTCCAGGAAAAGTGAACAAAAACTTCTCGAATCCATTTCACTCTTTTTTATTATATATTCACAAGTTGGCCAATTCGAATCATATAACCCAGCGCAAACCTCTTCTGTTTGAATATTTAAACGTTTACATAATTCCAACACTATTTCCTTTGTAACTTTCTCATTATTTGGGCCATTCAGTTCTCCGTCATCCTCACGAAACATTTTGGCAATTATATTTACTGTTGCCCTACATGTTGTACATAAAAAGAACTGATCGGCACTACTCAGTTCATCAACTCCTTTGGTGAAAATATCTTTCTTGCTATGTGACTTTGCCAACTGCTCTGAAATTTGTCGCAGTGATGCTGATTCCACTCCAGTTTTTAAAAAAGATATGTATTCATTTTCGAACTTATAAGCAATATTATCTATGGTATAAAAAAAATAATTTATTAATCATATGTGTATGTATATATATGAATTTTATATATATATATATAAATTGAGACAAGGTCAAATCTTTCAAAACTTGTGAGGACATTCACATATTCGCAAATTGTATCGCTTTAATTTATGAATTTATTTGATGCCGTAATATTTCATAGCACACAAACCGGAAATCGCAGATAATACGGCATCAGAATGACTTGTAAAATCTTGTGGAACTCCTGGAAGATGAATTGCTTCGCAACTTAATAATATTCCGAAAAAAATGTATATCAACATTATTTAGCTTAACAAGACTAGCTTAATCACGTAACTTTTACTTATTGTACTAAACTGTATAGATCCACAGTTCTTTCAATTTATACATCATACTCTTATCAATATTCGATAATTAGACCAATTGTTCTTTCGCGTTTAAATAATCGTAATCTTTTAATCTCTCTACATTCTTTAGATATACTTCTTACTATATTGATGTATATAAGAATTGTACACAGTTTTATTACAAATATCTTTTGCTTCACCTTTAGATTACTTCAGTATTCGAATACTTAAAAGGTTTGAAATTGTATTGAGTTCTTAATTGATATGAAAGAGATTATTTTGAATTTGTATACATATGATTATATCTCCATTAATACGAATAATAAAAGCATTTTAATTTATAATTTACAATACAGCTACGTGTTTCCAATTCTTAATATAGGAAAAATAGGAAAAATAATATTCTGGTTTATTGAAATTCAAGTCGTCAATTCAAGTCATTTTCTATTTACTATTTCAATATTGCTTGTAGCATTATATTATGGATTAAGAAGAGTTAAAGAAATTTCTCTTTGCGTACTACACGGATGCACATCTAAATGCCAAATAGAGCCCTTCCACATTGTTGTAGAAATTAATAATTGTTTTTGTATTTTGAATTCATCGACATATGTCACAATGAAGGCGGCATAGATGAAGTCAAATACCAAAATTGGGGACTACTCTTATCCTTTACGCCGAAACTGCACAAATCCGTTCTCAAAATTTTCAAAAAGATAACTACGATCCCCTGTGTTTGTGGTTTAGTCTTGTAATACTTCGCTTTTTACAAAAGTTAATACAACTTATATTATATACATATATGCTCTTTAAAAATGTTCCGGTTGCGTGGTTAAAGTGAAATCTAGATTTGCTATTGGCTTAAATCAAATTTGCCATATGCAAGTCGAAAAATAGTTTTCTATTAAATCTTTTTACTTCCAATCGCACCAAAATGTTAAAGCTTATTTAATACTTTAATATTTTTTTCACTGTTCGTAAGTAAAGCATGATATAGACGATGAAACATGTTTGCAAACCAAATATGCAAACCGAGTATGCGCTTTGCTATACACTTTGAAACAAGGTTTGCATACTTCATTTTGATTTATTTTCTACAGCGATCATATCAACAGCGGAGTAAGTACAGAGTGCAAAACAATAATTGAAACTGAAGAAATTGAGGTGATGATCATAGCAACCTGTTATTTATTTCATTTTTTAAACTAAAATTATTTTTGTTTCAATTTTTTAATATGTTACATTTTAAAATTTTTATTCATATAATAATTGTTTAAATATTAAAGCTTACTATAAAAATGTTTTTAGCACAAATTAATTTTTAAAATATATAAACTTCTTCAATAATTGTCTAATGTCTAGCAATTTTTTAATTATTTTTCATTTATTTTTCTTTTTACCAAAAATTAATAATTTTTTTCCGTAATCTTTGCTTGTCCGACGCTCACCAAAATTCTTAAATTATGAGAAATTTGCAAACTTCGATATACACAAGTAAACATGTTTGCAAACTTAACAAATAATTGAAAAGTTTTAATTTCACCGCAAACTTGTTGCAAACTTGAATATAGACAGTGCAATTTGGTAGCCCGCAAACCTTACTTTTCTTTACACTCTGATATATGTTCACTTTGAATATTTTTTAAAATACAACTCTGTGTGAAGTCTTGAAATTGTAAAGTAGAAATCAAAAATTTTTGACGTTTCATTTTAAGGTTTTAGTTTGATTACCAATAAAATTTATGATTTCGTACGTCTTTGCGTTTTAACTCAATGAAGTGACTTGTCGTTGCTTTGGAAATCTTGTGTATAATGAGTTTTTGTGTGAGACGAAATTAAATTTGAAATATAGTCGATAAAAATCCATTAAAACAAATTTTCACAAATTCAGCTGCATACCTAATGAGCCTAATTAATTTTCTAAATTCCAAACTAAAACCTTCGGTTGAGTGTGATGCTATTTGTCTTGATGGATACACAGGTAATAACAAGTCTTTATAAAATATCTTTTTAGTAATTTATAACGTTTGTGACAGCCGCCAATCTAATAGCTGATGATGTTGAACAACTTTCCCGTGGATTTATTGCCTACTCAATTACAAAGCCGCCAGTTGAAATGATTTTTGGATTTCCGAAGGGAATAGATTTAAAAGTAATTAAACTGTGGAATACGACTGGATCATTACGTTCTACAGCACTCGAAGTTCACGGAAAATATCAAGGAATATGGGAACGGGTTGCCTATGTTCGTGATATAAATAAAGATGTTGACTGTGTAATGTTTTGTTATCAAAGTGAGTACAGTTCTCGGAGCAATAATGGAAATGCCTTTCAACAATGCAATCAAAAGGTTTTCTTCTTCAAAACTGCTGGAAGAATTTTATCCGATTGTAATACCATTAAGATTATTATTTTGCAAACCTATAAATGTGCTCCCGTGTTACGAAAAGCAGAAATCTGGGGTTTGCCTGCTCGGTCACTTTCGAAAGTAGACAAAGAACTTATGAAAACTATTTGGAATGAAGTAGTGAATCCTTTAGAATTAAAGCAATCTGTTCAAAGATCTTTTAAATCGTCAGAGCAGCATACGTGTTCCAATCTTAATATTCCAGAAGAATTTTTAGATACAATAACATGGGAAATAATGGTAATCTTTAAGATCGATTTTATAACTTAAACATTATTAATTTTTTGTGTTTAGATTTTCCCGACAGTCTTGCCTTCGGGTAAAGTAGTTGATCAAAGCACTATTGATAAGCATTCAGAAATGGAAGCTAAATGGGGTCGTACGCCTTCCGATCCGTTCACAGGTCTAGAATTCACAACTCATCGTAAAGCGATTTTAGATATTGGATTAAAAGCCAGAATTGATAAGTTTCTAACAGAAAATTCAGACCATTTTAAAGCAGTACCACGTTCCTTGGGTTCGCGTTTACGTCGCAATCAAAATCGTCACGCATCACAATTTGCAAGTCTTTGTCAAGGTGATACCATATCAATGGGAGCTTATTCTGCATTATTAACTGCATCAAATTATACAAATCCTAAGTCAACAGCAACCTCCTCTATTGTTACAACAGATGTACCGATCAAACGAATAAAGTTGACTGATAATGTTGAAACATATCGCTATGAAACACCTTTAATAACATCTACCACTACACAACCATCTACTACAACTACTGCATCATCACCGTTTTCTTCAAATCACATATCAAGCATAGACAATGCTATTCAAAATGCTTTACAAAAAATGTCACGCTTTACACAACCGTTATCAAGAGATTCCACAACTTGTATTAAGTGTAAAACAAGTGATTTCAGCCACAAAATACAAACTTGTCAGCATTTAATTTGTCGTAGATGCCTTGTAGAATTAATGAAAGACCAGCTATGTACATGTAAACAAAGCTTTAGTACTGCGGATGTTGAGCGTTTTCACAAATTGTAGTAAATTTGTGTTCAACTATGGATTTTAATATCTTAACAAAATCTACGTTGGAACTGATAACAGAATATAGTCGCGTATATAATTTTAAAATAAATTTTGATTTGCATGAAACTTAAAGTCTTGTTAAGGTACTCCAAACTTTATGCTATAATTTTTGTTTAATAAAATTTATTTTAACAAAAAACTATGTTATCTCAATAAGTTATAATATTTAAAATAAATTTCAAAACATAATATTATGCATGTCTAAAAGCTAAAGATTTAAATATACATACATTAAATTCCATCTCACGCTTAATTTTTGTGTACAGAATATAATAAAATCGTCATATTTATATTCCGATACTACTCCGAAATTACTCTGAATCACAGTATATATTTATTTGTATAAATATATGTTGCCACATTATAACAAAACTAATTTGTATATAGGTATTATCATATATGTTGTATGTAGAACATGAAATGTTTTGAATTATAGAAGAGTGGACGTTAAGAAATTAATTAAACTTAATTGGATACTTATTTTACATTTTTTTCATTTGAGACAAGTATTTAAATATTTAAAACTTTCATATTTTTTTAATACTAGTAAAAAATTAGGTGTAAGATTTTGAAACATTTATTAAATATGTTATTTACGAGCAGAGTTTCATATTTGCAGGGTCAGTTTTATAACAATGACCAATATATAACTCATTAGGTCAAAGCACTGAAGTCCATTTACAGAATTTAAATAATAATTTAATATTTATGTGGTCGAGTTGGTTTTTCAGGCTCAAAGAGTTTAGGATCTTGCAAAAAGTCAATGTCCTTATAATAAGTTGGCATCAATGCACATCGTTGTGCACGTGCGATTGCTATTTCAACTTCCTCCTGTTTTTGCTTGCATAAACCAGTAATATGTCTACCATAAATACGACCTGTATAAGGCGACTGAAACTGTGACAGTAGTTTCACGTTTTTGTAATCAGGACTTATATCATTTTTACAAAGAATGCATAGTTTTTTTTCTTTTTCAAACGGATTTGGAATGTCTATGGGTTCATCATTCTGTTTTATTGCACAATACGCACGTACCGCAATATTTATCTTAGGTGCTGTTGCTGATAAAAAAAATATTATTTTAGAATAAAATTTATTATTATAATATACTTCTTACTATTGGATAAATTTAATCCCAGAATTCTGAACATATTTATATTATTTTTTGTACGAAGTTTTTTTAACACACAATCTCAGCTGTCTCTGACAGAATATAACTGATGCCATCTAGTAGCAGATAGTCACTGTTATGTATATGAAATGATAGAATTGCAATTACGAAATAAACTATGTCATGCGCATTAGTGATTTAGTTCATTTTAAATACGCATACGTTTTACTTAAAAAATATTCGAGATATGAATTTAAAAAAGAGCCATATAAAGTATATAATTCAAAAAATATAAAGAGAGCTTAAATCGGAAGTATAAATGTCAGAAAACTAAATACTTATACACAATAAAAGAAAATGTTTTTGACTTGAGATATGCATATACACATTTTCGAAGTATATTCACAAATTCACAGACGACTTTATAGTTTTGGTAACTCTACGCTGTGAGCTACTTATCGGTAATAGTGCTTTCTCACTAGCATTTGAAATAGTCCAATTTGTATTGTTGTCATTTTTATATGATATTTGTTCACATTATGATCACTTATGATTCACTTCGTTACACATTCGTTTGAATGTGTTTCGTAAAAACAGTAATAATTTGTTCAGAACAAACGCAAATTTTTTTTTGTCAGTTCGATAAACAATAACTATTCCAATTGACAACTTTGATCCGTATTGATTCGCAACAGTATATCGAAACTTGCCAGCCAATAAGTATTAAACTTTAGTGCAACTGCCTGTGCATTGTCTACATGTGGACGCACTTCTTATATGTGTACGTGATTGTAACGACGAATCTTCGATCGACAAGTTCAAGTATAGCATCCGTCTCTTTGAAGCTTTAACGCCTGGATAACTGATATTATGCAACTAGTCAATAAACATTTAATGTAAGCCTTTATTTAGAAACTGACGTATTGCAGGTATATTGAATAACTTTTATTGAAGTATAAACTCTGAATTAAGGAATGACTTAAACTCTTTGTCCTCATTAGGTTGTCAAGCAATCTGTATGATCAACCGGGTTGCTTATACGAAGAGTCTCGATTTACCTTAAATAATATCCGCAGCGACAATAAAATTCTTGACAAATAAGTTATGTCTACCGTAAACTATCAGATATAGTTGAGATGGCGGCTTATTTAGATGATACAGTAAGAATCGTCGAAAGAAATTCACTATACCCAAGAAAAATTTGAAATTGCATAGATTTTAATAGAGGCATCTGAATGCCTTTCATCTAAGTATTACATGTGGTAATGGAGGGGATTTAATGCGCATGACTTGCATGAGATCGGAAGGAAGGAGGCAAGGTGAAGTGCTTGCCATCAGGATTACGTTTATAGTTAATGTAATCATGTAGAACCTTGCGCTCTAAGAGACGGATTCTTTCTATCTGAGCAGAAATTATTGCAGACCAAACGGAGAAAACGCACGAGCTGTTTATAGCAGAAGAGCTAGATTTTACAGTAAAGCTGGTTGTGCCTTTGATGGGTGTTTTTTAGTTGCATATACCAAAAAGTGGTGTTTTGTCCATGACAAAGACAACGTATTGAATGAAGTTGTGCCGAGTAGATAGCACAACACCGGGGTACTTGAGCTTTTCAAAGAGCTGAATGGATTATCATTAAACTTTAGCTCGAGGAGTGGTGCATCAAAGCCATTATTGCGATTTCGTCTAGGAAATCAAAGGCAGAGACCTTGGTGAGATTAAGGTAAATCTTCCACTTGACATAGTCAATGAGGAGGGTTTTAAGGTACTAAACTCATTACAAATTCGACACTAGGGAGGGAGGGGTGTCTGCTATAAACAGGTTGAAAAGAATTGGGCTTAAGACAAAATCCTGTGGAGCGCTGGCAATATTGCAGAAAATGCGGAACAGAGCGGAACTGATTCTGACTTAAAAAGTCCTATTAGAAAGGAACATGTGGACAACACTGCAAAGTATTTGGAAGAAGTCGAATTAGCCGAGTTTGTAGACCAAACCCTCAAACCAAAGAGTTTTACAATATTGAGACTTACTGCCGTAGTGGGCTGATTGTTGAAGAAACTGACTCATATCTCGTTTTAGAAATGATGCAGTGCGTGCACCTTATGAACATGTCCCTTAATTGTGGAGATGAAAATGCTTTCGAGTGCGAAGCGACGAAATCAATCTCCGCCGGAGTCCTGTTTCTATATTCAGAAATGCCTAACTGGAGGTAATGGGCGAGAGTGCAGAATGCAAGGCTTATCGGTTGCCTGGTCTGCCAAACCATCGACAAGACTGGGAAAAAGTCGTATATTTGCCAAGATAAACTCTAGGACGTTATTGTTGCGAGTCAGTACCAGTTAACGATCAGCTTAACCAGTCGTTCGAAGAGCTTAGTAACGTTTTAGCAGAAGGCTGGATTGTTCCATAGGAGGTGCTTGCTATTGAAGTTCCTGACTATCAAAAACTGGAGGAGGGAATTGACAACCGTGATTTTCAAATCCGCTCAATCGGCAAATTTGCCAATCGGTCACACCGCTGGTAATTGGAGCACTGACGGATATCATTGTGAGATTTCAGAACTATCGAGATAATGATGTTAAAAGACGAAAGGTGCCAGACAACGTCAATTGCTAAAAGTTCAATAGAGAAAAGAGAACAGAGAGGAAACTTTTTTAATTTTTAATCAAGTGAATTCTTAAATTGTTCATATTACTATTTCGGGTATCGCCAAATATCTATGATCAGCGGTCTTTGGAAATATTTTTTGGCTTGATTGTCGGTATATATTTTTAAAACTGCAAATTCCAAGAATTGAACTCCGTCAAATTTAAACTATGTTAAAACAAGAACCTTATGTACACTTTATTCAGAAATTTATTTAAAAAATGTTTGTTTCACTAACATTTTGTAAAATGGAAAAAGACATGATAGGCTGTACAGGTAAGCATAATTTAGCCTGTTTAATAGTTTAAACTAGCCTATTTGTAAATCAAATTTAAAAGCTTTTGCTAATATCAAAAAGGATGTGCACTATTGTTGAGTTTGGATGTATGTATATATTATTACAGATTTTTTTCTTTTTAAAATAGTGTGATTATTGCAAAGTAATTTGCATAATGTTCAATAAAATTTTGAAGTTAAAATGCAAATTCGTTAACAAATTTAAATGATTCTTTTCATTAGTACAAAGTATTGTAAAATTATTTTCATTGATACATTTTCTTTAACTTAAATGGAACTCATCATGATATCATATAAATTCCCTTGTGAATTACATTGTGAGTTGTTAATACTGTATAATATTGTATAATATTTATATGCCTATCATCATCGTGACATCATTGACATACTGGCGCCCTTTTTCTTTAACTCTTTTGCTTAAAAAGTTTACTTTCTAATAACAATAAACTTTTACGAGAAATCGCGAAAAGCATTTCTACATCCGCTTCCGCTAAGCTGTTTTCCGTCGGAAGTGTTATTCACGAGGAAACCCTTTATGTCAAACCGCGCTATTGTTAGTTTATGTGACTTGATTGGACTTTTTGCAGAAGGGGAAGTAAACGTTTTGCCTTTTCTGGTAAGTCATTCCGTGAGATAAATTTATGTTTAAATATATTCATCAGCAATAAATCTTTAAGGTTTACTGCTATTGCCAATCAAATGCGGCTACGCACATAATGAAAAATTGGGGCTGAATCAAAGTTTGGTAATATGTGTAGAGTTTAGTAATATTTCAGTTTTTTGGAATTAATAGTTTATAAATGATATGCATACCATCGCATACGAGTACTTATAAGTAACTTCTATGTAAATTCAGTTTCAGAAAATGTAGTTGAGCTTTATAAGGATTACACAGAACGTAGACACATTAAAGTTTACTTCTTACCTCGTCCAGATTAATGTTGCGAGGTATTGAGATTTTTAGTAAATATTTGGGAGCTTCTTAGTGGAGTATAACAAAAAATATATTTTCTAATTCTTTTGTGTTTAATTTTAAAATTTCCTATTTAGAGTCAGAAAACATTTTTTTTGCGCGATAAGCAAGACGCAGAGCTAATATTAATTAGGAGATTTCAATGCGGGCGGTAAAGTAGATATGAGGATTTTTTAAAATTCCAGTGATAAGTGAAAAAAGAAGTGAGTTTTTGCTTATACATTTGTAGTAAAATATTCTAAGTTTTTGATACCTTCTGCAAGATAGGATATTTCGAGGTCCTCTATATATTGTTTGTTCGCAGAGTTGTGACAGAGTTGTAGAGATTTAAATTTCTGCTGATATTTTTTCTAACATTTTTGTAAATAAATGAAGTCAAATCTTTTGAATACAGTTGAATATACTTCATTTATTTTTATTACAGCAATTGTTAATGAATGAATTAGCAATTACAATGTTTTTTCTTTAGTTTATCCAAATGGTCTAGAAGCATTCTTTAATTTTGTGATGTGCCTACCATAAGGCAGAAACTATAACTTGAATTGTTTCCTCATTTTTTGGAACACATTCTTCAGAACTCTACTTTTTCGACTACTCTTTCATTTTCTAGGTATAGCGATGTAATCATGTCTCACCCACAGTTATAAATACTTATTAGGATTACGTTTAAATATTTGGTTTTACGTAGTAACAGATTTTTTCACTTAAATTTATTCAAATGAACTTTAGATTAGTTTTAAAACTTGCCTTAAATAAGTCTCTTAATACGCCACTGGTTACACAGGTTTGAAAAAATATGCCACTTATTTTGCTTACAAGCTTCTCATACGCAAATTCTTTTGCAAAATTTTAACAACGTGTTGACTTAAAAATTTGTGTCTGTCAGTAATCCCATGCATTTTTATATTATGGTCTTCCATCGCAAAATCATCTTTTATCGACCATTTCGAAGATTGCTACCTTATTTGAGCGTCCTAACCCCCTAGTATCATTGGTGCTTACAAAACCACAATAAAACGAAGGAAACTTATTAAATCAATTTATTTGACAGTACAACATATTTGTATTGCTTGACGAGTTTGTTTTGTAAATGAATGATTTCTTTTTCAAATAAAAAGAGTTTATATTTTTAAAAATATTTCAAAACTTTTGTTTTTTGCAAATTTACCAGAACTTCTGCATTTTAAACACCTACAACACAAAAGAAGCTTACATATAGAATTA